GGAGAAAATCCTAACAGATCATTTTAGGTTCTATGAGACACTATTTCCTGCATTCTCAAAATTGCATTACTTTTCATAAGATACAGCATAAGATTGAGAAGAAATATTTGTGCTATATAATTTATAATAATGACATACATATCTTAATTGTTTTTCGCCAATTAAATATTCAGGACGCGTTTTCACCATGAAGTACCTACTTAACAGCTACGCCTATATATGCAGCGAAAACTGATCTCTGTGAGATTTTATGAAGATCTATTGCCCTAAAGCATGTGCTTTTTGTTTAACAGTTGAAAATTTAAACTAAATCCATTCTTCTTGGATATATCTACATATATCGTGGGTCATTCATGATCGAGGGACACCGGAACTGGGGGGGGCAGGAGGGGCAGCTGCCCCCGTTGCCCTTTACCAGGAGGGGCAAGGGGGGCAAAGGTGCCCTTTCAATTTAAAGGAATGCCTTGGCGAAATAGCGAATTGTCTGAAATGTTAGTGCAATTCTTTTGCGAATTTGCTTCAGAAAACGCAAGAAATGCAGTCATCGAGCTTCAAGAATAGCACAATCTCCTGGCGGAGAACCCCCTCGTGAACACCCCTATCATCCAATCAATAGAAAACATGATTAGGCGAAGTTCAACTCCCGATGTTTTGCAAACATCTCTTAGATGTTTTGCAAACATCTCTTAGTATATATATATATCAATTCAAAAGTGCCCTTTCACGAAAATCTGCCCCCCTTGCCTTCACATCGTTCCAGCATCACTTGTCGGACCCCTCGTTCATGATGCTCTTTCGACCCAGGGATGGCCGCTTGGCCCAGGGCATGGCCAGGGGAAGGATGGTCGCAGCTGGGATTGACTGATGCATTTATAAGTTAATAATAGTCTTAGCTGCAATTTACAACTAATTCTGTATTTTATAGGGGGCAGGGAGTGTTTGACCACAGGGGGCAGAGGTGTCGGGTTTTAATATCTGCATGACTGCATGCAAAAACAAGAAAAACGAACGTCTTACCTTGTTAGTGAATTATATTATTATATAAAACGTTATAGAACTTTTAATAGTGGAAACCAGTGGTGGAAAGTTGAAACGGTACGTGAATATATAAACACTATTTATTTAATATAAACCGACACGCAGTGTTTCCACTCCCAAAAAAAAATTTCCTTCTCCATAACCCGAAATTTCCTTTTTTTCCCAATTTTTCCTCAAAATTTCCTTCCAAAAATTTCCTTCCAAAATTTTTATCAAAATAAAAAATTGACACATTTACCTGGTAATTAACATCAAAGCTCTAATATTGAAATACATAATATTAATTTATAGCAGATAACTCTTTATTTTGCAGGTTAAAATCAGCTCATCTTCGCCCCGGGCGGACAAAAAACAATAATTGGCCAATTGGGGCACTACCTTGCCGTGGGAGCGAAAAGAGATTCCATAACTGTTTCTTGCATCTCTCCCCTGGACACACACACAAGAAAGCCCTATAGGGTCTTTCCTGCCCACGCTAAGCAGAGTCTGAGAAATAATACCCAGGGTACGAGGTTTGGTTGTTATTTCAATATAGGGGATTCTGGGGTCCGGCCTGTCCTAGGACTGCATTTACGGCATTTTTTGCACAAAATTGTGTGAAAATTGCCTTATTCTTAGAAATTATGAGATAAAATAGAATTTCCTTCTCAACTTTTCATTTTATGAATAACTTTTGTTTTAAACGGCAACTTTTGTAATAAAATGAAAAGTTGCCAAAAACGTGCCGAGCAACTTGTGGAAACCCCTAGGTCACTATCAGCATTGGTAATGAATAATGAAACTCCTTTATTGCTCTTCTGCTTGGTCGAACACTTCGGCCAAAAATATTAACAAGCTACAACTGGTACAAAACTTCGCGTGTAGGATCGTGACAAACAGCAAGAAGTTCGATCATATCTCACCGAAACTGCAAGAACTGAATTGGCTTCCAGTTAAAGAATACTTACTTTTTAGAGATACAGTTTTGATGTACAAATGTATTAACAATGTAGCCCCTGCACCTTACTTGTGCAATGTAAATTTAGTAAACGATCAAATATACATGAATGTAACACTCGTAACCGAGAGCTCCTCCAAATACCGATTTATAATACCACCACTGGCCAGAGAACATTTCATTATAGAGGGGCGAAACTATGGAATGATCTGGACAATAACACGAAACAAATGCCATCTTTGAGAAGTTTTAAGAATAAATTAAAGAAAGACATGTTAGACAGACTGTATTCTTAGTAATGGACTATTTTAATAATAGAAGATTTTTCCTAGTAAATTTTTATATATGTAATCTTAACCTTGTTTTTTAATCACCATTCCATGTAAATTAGTGTCGAAAAGCCTCTTTGAGGAACACAATAAAGTATGTATGTATGTACAGTATGTACTATAGTAAAATATTCGCACAATGAAAATTCAAACTTGCGTAGAGCATAAATATGGTTTTACTTGCACAGGGTTTAGGCATTTAAATATCACATTGTAGAGAATTTCATACTTAATCGAATGGTGGTATTCTTGTCTGTTTTGGTCAAGGGAAACCGGAGTTAGAACGTACAAAGTCGTGGAACGTATTTGTTCCATATTATTATAGGGTCCGACTACAAAGAGATTTATACAAACAATAACGGAAGAAATTATTTCGCTGGCCTCAGAGTGACAAAACGTAACAAAGCAACGGGTTTTACTAACACTAGCCCTACTCCAAACACCAACTCTAACCCTTACCCGAATCCTTACCCTGTCATGGATTACGCAGTACCAGCCTTTTATCACTCCCTTCCACAACACTTAAAGAACGAATTGATTCGACTGGAAAAAAGGGCTATTTCAATAATAAATCCAGGAATAATAATAATAATAATATTTAATATTTATATTGCGCAAATTAACATGTTATAGTATATGATCAAATGCGCATCACAAAACATAATTACACTAAAGTTATTCTATGCTGAATGGTTACTAACTAAAAATATAAAGAAGATTATATAGATTATATGTTACATGAAGTATTTACATTAAAGGCTTCTTCAAAATAATAAGTCTTAACTAATTTCTTGAAAATACTAAAGTTATGCAGATTTCTAATATACATAGGTATGGACTACTCTGCAACAGGAGAAATTTTGAACATCAAACCAATAGAAGAACACCATAATTTCTTATGCAAAAACTTGTTTGATAATGTTACAAAGGATTCAAACCACAAACTTTATGACCTCCTCCCACAGAAACATAACTGGCACCACGATCTCAGAAATGGTTATGAATTTGACATTCCTCATTTTAATACTAATCGTACTAAAAACTCTTTTATATTTGCGATGGCATCGAAGATGTCTTCGTAACGTTAGTGGTATCTTTTTTATTATCATCCTAGTAAAATTTTAAATGTTTGCATAATTTTAACTTAATAATTATAATAGTAATTAAATAATAATTCGTATTTTGTAAACTTTTAATACGTAATTCAGCCTTTGGCTGCAATGTAAATGTTTTATTAAACTATCTATCTCTAACCCTACTCCAAATTTGTTTCTAAACAAATCTTGAAGAAAAAAGTTTTGACGAAATATCATTCTGAGGTCAGCGACATAGTTGATGCCAACAATAACATAGCATTTTTGTCGTAATAATTTTTTTCGCGTGGTCGCGCCTTTTTCCACGAGTCGCGCCTTTTTCCACGAGTCGCGCCAATTTAGTCGCGCCTCGCGCTATTGAGTCGCTACTCGCATGCCGCGCCAATTAGATTATCTCTAAGGCCCCCTTTACACGAGCCCGGGTTGACTATCAACCCGGGTTGGCTTGCCAGCCCGGGTCAACCCGTCTACGAATAAATCTCTATTAGCGTTTACACGATAGCCGGGTCAACCGTTCACACCTCGCCAACCCGGGGCACCCTTCTCGAGACCCGGGTCGACCCGGGTTGGCGAGGTGTGAACGCGTGAAAAGTTTACTCATTTCTTCATGTAAAGCCGGGTTGGCTTGACCCGGGATCATGTAAAGTGCGGGAAATTCCTGATTGTGAACTTTGCACCTAGCGTCATATCGCATTTCAACATTTTGCGTGCGTATTTTCTCCGTCTCTGTTTGGGTACAGACATATAAAATCATACAGTATGGCGAGTAAAAACTGTCCAAAGCCAAAAGAAAAAATGCACAACCCGCGTTTCAGTGGTGGTCTGAAATTATTGATCACCTAATCCTTTCTCTGAAGGATTATAAGACGGAGATGAATTATAAAAATGTAGATTTCAACTCCGATGTTGTCGCAATGTATTCAAAGTTGCGCGAAGGTCTGGCGTTGGCGTTCGATGCCGAATATTTTTGCCCAGTAGATCTTCCAGTACAAAATAACGAGGGAAAAAAGGGAAGAAAACGTCTTTAAGGCAGAATTAAGTTGCTATACGGTTAAATCCTTGATAAAAAGGGATATAATTGTATACTGAAAGATATAAGCGCCAAAACTAAAAGGTATATAATCGTAATAATATCGTATGAGGTCTATAAGGGATTTTAAGGGATATAAGCGCTAAAAATACACTCTGCTCCAGTCTGTTGCTCGGAATATTACTCGAGTCAGCCCGGGTTGAGAATTGCTGACCCGGGTTGGCAAAATTGTCGTCAACCCGGGTTCATGTAAACAGAATAAAAAAATAACCTCCTGTGGCGTGCTGACCCGGGTTGAAAATCAGCCCGGGTTCGTGTAAAGGGGGCCTAACAAGACGCTCTATTGAGCGTTAGTCGCTGGGGCTATTGCATATTACGCTGCATGTGATTGAGATTAAGACTGCTATTTGTTTGTTAAGTTTATGTGTTCATGAAATGAAATTGTTTTTGTCAAAAATGGGATTCAAGGAAAAATTAAAACAAAGTTCATCAAACAAGTCCCCGGACTATAGACGATAAACAAATTTGTCTATTAAAGTTTGGTTATATCCAATTCACTACTTTACATAGGTCCCATGTCTAAGTATCATTGATTGTTCTAGTGTACTGAAGCATAGAGTAGAACAAAGATAACTAAGCTTTAGAATTATCTAGCTACATGAATGACTTTTATAGTGTATCAAATGCTAAGTTACCTCTGTTCTATTTTATGAATATTTAGAGTTGTGAATTGCATAGCAACAATGTAACTAACTTTGCCAAATTTATCTATATTATACAAATTAATATGTTCTGTGTGTTTGAATTGTACAATACCTATTGTGAGATAACAGCTGTCCTGAGAGCTTTTAAAATATCATTTGCCAGCAAGGCAAGAAGCTCTATTAAACCCTTGTCCCATTAAGCAGATTCTATTTACATCCAAATAAACAGCAACTTGCGAATATTGTTGCAATTTACGAAGTTCCAACTTTGTGAAAATTGTGAACTTTTGTCGTCTATTTCAGGCTTCTAGCCTTCCAAGTTTACTCATATAAGATGACTTTCGGTTTATTAAGTCTGGTTGATGGGAAAACTATTAAGTTTCATCGAAAAAATGAAGAAAATATGCACAAAATCGATGAAATTATTTCCAATACGCTCCCAACTCCCAAGTAAGCGGCCATCTTGAATCCAGCGACTGAAAGTAATGACGTAATGTTTGACAAAAAAATGACGTAGGTCATTTTGTGACCAACAATCCGCGATGAAGCCGACACCTATAGTCGCTGGATCGAGGCACAGAGTGCCCTAGACTTGCCACAAGTCGGCCTCGAACGAAACGCGAGCGCGAGCGACAAAGTCGACTTGTGGCAAGTCTAAGAGTGCCCAGCGACTAATTAGTGAGCTTAAGCAAGTGACGTTTTTGACAACACGGACGTCGATCGGAAGTAAAATTGACGTTTTTCACCAATCACAGCCCTTGACCCAGTCTTTTGACGTTACTCATGCCGTTCGTGTTGTCAAAAACGTCACTTGCTTAAGCTCACTATTAAAGCAACCTCACTTACCTCAGTGTTTACAATAACAAATATATACAATGTAATGTTGCATGAATATCTTCACCGTGCACATGTGCATTTTTTAATATAAAATATTCACCAACCATGCGGCATACCGTCACTTAAACAAAACTATTAACTGAAACATTTTCTAAGCGGAGGAACTGTAATATGAGTTTTATATGTCCGATCTGGCTGGAGAAATTTATAGTAAGGCCCCTAGTTTTAGTATTCTAGTGATAAAAGACTATCGGAAAGAAGAAATTATATACAAGCAGAATCTATTTACAACAAATTGAAAGATGAAAAATTACTAAGAAATAAAATAGTACATTACTATCATTAGTGTTCCTAAGGCCAATGCTAAAGTTTTTATAATTTATTTACATTAATTAGATAATAAATACAGGGATTTTGCTTTTCTCTTAAAAGAAAAATAAGTTTTAATATTTTTAATTTCGTCATCAAAAAAATTCCATAAAGAAATTCCTTTGTTAAATACAGTATATATATACAGTAGTTTGTTCTTTTATAACTCACATGTAACTTGGTAGAATTTCGCGTATTATACTTACAGTTGTGTACATCGTTATTTTGTTTGAAGTAATCATTATAAAAGTCCGGCAAATTTTGACAATAATGGCGACGATTCATGAATAAACTACATAAATAATCATTGATTTGGTAGATGTTCAAGATTTTCAAATCCAAAAATAGTGGTTTTGAATGTTCATGCATATTATGCATATAGGATTTACAGTGACTAATTAGTCGAACAATTTTCTTTTGCACATTCAGTAACTTTGAAGCCTGGTTGGGTACGTATTTCCTGCCCAAACTAGATTTCCATACGTGAGCCGGTATGGATAGACTAAAGCATAGTATACCAATTTCAAACTGTTTTTGGGAGTAAAATGTCTTAATTTTGCAATCAAACCCGCGGATTCAGTATTATATTTTTCTGAACTGAGCTAATGTGGTTCTTCCATGCATAAAAAATCGTGGTCAATTAATACACCCAAAAACTTTACATAAGATGCTTGTTTAATAATATTATTATTTATTTTGAGATTAATTTCTTGATTCAAAGATTTATTTTTTATTTAAAAATGATAAATTTTGTTTTGGATGGGTTGATTGATAATTTATTGGCATTTAGCCATTCCGCTATTTTATTAATTTCCTTTTGTATAATGTCAGCTAATGTTTTTAAACATGAATTTGAACAAAGAGCATTGTATCATCGGCATATAAAACAAAAGAAAGGATATTACTACAATTTTCAATATCATTTATGTATATTAGAAATAAAAGTGGTCCAAGTATTGAACCTTGTGGGACTCCAGTCGTAACATTCATTTCATTTGACCTATGTTGCTTATATTTGACAATTTGGCTTCTTTCCTGCAAATAATTTGTAAACCGCTGTAGACATATTCCTCTAAGTCCGTAGTGTTCAAGTTTTTTTTATTAGAATTTCATGATTCACTGTGTCAAAGGCTTTAGAAAGATCAAGGAAAATACCTATTGTATCTAGACCTTCGTCCATTGCCTTCGAAATCTTATCGGTTAGCTCAAGAATGGCATGTTCGGTTGATTTAATTATTCCTTTTAAAACCAAATTGATGTTCTGAAAGTATTTGATGTTTCTCAACATATAATTATACAGTATAGTCGTTTGTACATAAGTTTTTCAAGTAATTTAGAAAAGCAAGTTAAAACCGATATAGGTCTATAATTTTCAAAAAGATTATTTTCATTAGCTTTATAAACAGGACTAATTATAGCTAGTTTTCAAAAAGTTTGGTATTTTTCCAGTTTGAAACGATAAATTATAAATATATGTTAGAGGCTTGATTATATTTTCACTAATCGTTTTTATCATTTTCGCACTTTCTTCATCATGTCCTGCACTTAAGAATATTTTGCGCGTGCTAAATCGACAAATATTCACGAAGGAGATGTGCTTTTTTAGCACATTATAATATCAAAGGAGGTTGAAAGAGGATAACAGAACATCAGTACCGATTTTATCTTTGTATATGCAAAATGTTCAAGGAAAGGCAGAAATTTGGTATAGTCTAGATGCAACTGCCCAGCCTCTGGCAGTAACCTGTCCAGATTTTTAGCTTGGCTATGCGTGCTCTAATCTTACTATCAACAGTATATATTTTCCCTTTGATCATGTTCCATGTAATGATTTCATCTGAGTTAGCTACAGTAAGTACAGGATTATGGATTCGTCTTAGTCCGTATTTATCGATAGAATGAAACGCGCATTTTTCCGAAAATATGCAAATTTGCTTACGTGCAGTGTCATATATTACTCATCGCAGTAAAGGTGGATTAGAAACCGATTGAACCGACCCGGACACGCGAGAGGGCCAGGTATTAGGCTAGAAAAGTTGAAAACAACATAAAATCGTAGTCAAGACAAAGGAAATGTACATTGTTGGATATGACTAAAGGGAGAGTTACCAACCGGAGAGTTATCTCGGAGAGTTATGATTTCGGAGAGTTATGATTTCGGAGAGTTATGATTTCGAAGAGTTATGATTTCGGAGAGTTATGATTTCGGACAGTTATGATTTCGGACAGTTATGATTTCGGACAGTTATGATTTCGGACAGTTATGATTTCGGACAGTTATGATTTTGGAGAGTTATGTTCGAACCACGCCCAAACCACGCCCACTTTCCCCAATGACCACACCCAATTTCTTAACTCTCCCAACGTTTCCTTGAACTAACATGTTTGACGTAACTCTCTCTCGTTAACATTATGAAGATGTTAGAGAGTTATCATTTTTTATAACTCTCCGCGTTCACGATTGTGGCAATGAAGAGAGTTATGTCAGTTTTTTGAGAAAACCTTAGTAAAGCTTGTTTCTTCAGATTTTCGTCTTATATTTTGGTATTTCAGTTTTCGCGTGTCAATAGCGTGCGTCCAACAGGAAAGAGTACAACTTGACTCAGTCAAAACCATGAGATGCTACCCCAGAAGCATGCTTTGACGTGTATTTGGCAGTAAATACGGTAAGCATGGAAATACTTTCCCAGATCAGCCAACAGGGCATTACATTGGAAAGATTTTCTGGTTCTATCTAATACGAGAGCTGTACGCCTGTACCTGAATGCTGGGCTTTGTAGATAATCCAAGTGAGCATAGTGTAATAATTTATTTACTCGTACTCGCTTCACTTGGTTTGGTTTGTGCTAAAGTACTACTAGTTTCTACTAGCGTGAAATGTTGAAGCTGAAACTTGAGAAAAAAAAGTAAATTCACAATAATTTACTAAAATGTGGAAGTTTTTTTCCAAAAATTGACGGACATAACTCTCTTCATTGGCATTACCACAATCGTGAACGCGGTGAGTTATAAAAAATGATAACTCTCTAACATCTTCATAATGTTAATGAGAGAGAGTTACGTCAAACATAACTCTCTCATGTTAGTAATTAGTTCAAGGAAACATCGGGTGAGTTGAGAAATTGGGTGTGGTCGTTGGGAAAAGTGGGCGTGGTTTAGGCGTGGTTCGAACATAACTGTCCGAAATTATAACTCTCCACTTCATAATTCTCCGTTTAGCCGGTGAAAGCTAACAATTTGAAGAATCTTAAAATTCCTTTCAATTTCCTTGCTTGAGGCTAGATTTTCTTGCTATTTCCTTGTCAATTTTAATCCGCATTTTTCCCTGCAAGTAAATCGCACCAAAAATTTTTTTGCAAGGAAATTTCCTTGATACACAAGGTCTGGATCTGATACACTTTGTGTATCAGTTTCCACTGATACACAAGGTCTGGATCCGGATCAGAGGGTCTGGATATGAGGAGTATTTTGCAATCTGATTGGTTCTCTACTAGCAGGATATTTAACAATTATTCGCCGAAGGCGAGGTGATTATCGGGAAATATTCGTCGAACAGAACTCGAGGTGAATATTCCCCAATATTCACCGAGCCTGAGGCGAATAATTGTTTTAGTATTTTTACACAAGTTTTTTGTGTTTTTTTGGGGGCTGAATTTATTTTAATTTCGCTTATTTCTTTAGCAGTAACTTCCACAAAAAATCAACTTGTAGGATTTGTCATGTTCACTTGTGCAAAAATATTAATAGCTCATATCCTGCTAGTAGAGGAAAACAAAATGGCGGCTCAACTGAATTTCCGACGTTTTGCGAACGAGAAAACGGTAAGTTGTTCGCTTTTAATAGCCTTTACAGGATTAAAAACACAATGAAAAAACTCCCTCAAATTGTTTACAGGTTAGCAAAATGAATTTTTAAAGTTTAAAAAGGTTAAAAATATATATTTTTCAAAAAATAATCGGCCGAAAGAGCGAAGATAAAAACATAAACAAAATAGAAAAATATATTAAATATTGAAAATATCCGAAAAGGCAAAGTGTGAATTCAGAAAACAGTTATTCCATTCACTCTCGTCGAATATGAGCGATAGCCGATTCGGCGCGGCTCGGTTTCCTTTGTTCTTATCGGGGAATATATTCAATATTCCCCTCTATAAATCAATTTCCCTCTAATAATCCCCTCTAATATTCACTTGCAATGTCTTTGCAGCACAAAAAATGAGAAAAAAACAACATCACGAAGGCAATATGGCATATTAAGAATTATTTCAACTCTGACTCATTAACACGACCTCTCAATGTGAAATTAGTACGTTATTTTGAGGCACCTCGGGGATATGTGTTTATTCACCTCGCGCATAAATCACATATCCTCTCGTTGCCTCAAAATAACCTGTACTTATTTATTAGTCCAGGAGGAGAAGGGGGGGGGGGGGGGT